GGAAATGTTTGTGTATAGTACCATACTGATGCAAAAGGCAGTGGAAATGTTTGTGAATAGTACCATACTGATACAAAAGGCAGTGGAAATGTTTGTGTATAGTACCATACTGGTGCGAAGTTTCCCTTCAACTTTTTTAGCACAGTTTCTTTTGAATTGTGTATACAATAATTGTTACGTAAAATGAAACTGTGAATCGAGATTTATGCGTGTGTATATATTTATATCTATATATACTTACATAATATATACATAGAGAGAGATTCGTATTGATGATATGCAAATCTAGGGCTAACGTTTCCCACACTAAACTCGTTACCAATGTACAACACGTATTCTATATCAGTAACCATGTTCCTATAGCTAACCTCTACGCTGTCTAGTTTCAATATGTCCGTAGTTCTCATAACCTTATAAATGACCGTTAGAATTATTTCGTTTTAAAACACACATTCGGAACTAATTTACGTCTTGAGCTAAATATATCTAGTAGTTAATATCTAAGTTGCTAGATGTATAGACAGAAAGACATAAAAATGTTTCACGATGTGTGCATCTGGGACGAAAATGATGTGCATAAAAGTTATCGAGTCCATGCTGCAAAGCTATTCATTAGTGTGTAACTAATTTATGTAAAAACTCAAAGTGCTACAAAGTAACTTGAAATATCCTGCCCTGTTACATGCGGAGGAGGCTATGATGTATTATTTATAGGTATCCACGTGTGTATTACGTAAACCTACATCGAAAAGTACACCTATATATGAACACGAGCTTTCTTGATATATACGTATGCATACATAAAGAATCGCATATATGATATCAAAACTATAGCGACTTCAAACTAAACTCGTTGCCAGAGTACAAACTGTATTAACCATACTCCGTTAGTTAACCAATAAGCTATTTAATTTATACGTGTACATATATTAGGTGAATACAATTTACCTATTTCCAACATACTTCCACCAAGTAAATTTTAAGCAATGATTTAATATATAAAATATTATTTTTTGTAGTTTAATATAGCTTGCTTCTTTTGTTCATAGGGATTCCAATATAAAATAAGTACGTCACATCATATTTGAGAAAACGAAACCCAAACTGGTTTGTCCATATTTACATATATCAGAAGTAACTAAAAAATAATAATTATTTAAAAAAAAAAGAAAATTCCATACCTTTGAAAATAATACTTTTTTGTCCTACTTTCTCCTCAGCATAGGATCATTCACTCACTTTAAAAAAAAAACTGTTGTATTGTCTTCTTATTCTTATATATAAACAAATTAATCTGTCTTCGTTTGTTTTGTTTTTGTTTTTTTTTGTATAGGTTATTTTCCGATCAACCTTCTAACACAGAATCAAATACCATTACAAGAACAAGACGATGAGCAAGGTTAGCTTTCCTAGAAAATATCCATTGTCATTTAAAAGTGTCATGTGACCTGACTTGTCCAACCACAATCAAGCAGAGATAGAACATTTTACAACCGCTATTAAAAGGTCCTTAAATTATCTGCTTTTACAACACTCTGTGTTAGTTAGAGCATAAATTGCATCAGAATGTCAGGATGAGTGTGAACATTTTTTTTTTTTTTTGCCTTCAATGCTTGCACATCTTTCTAAATCAATCATTACATGTAGTCATAGGTTGCATGGCTGATGGCTGATGCAACTTAATATTGCAGCCTTAAACTTAGGGAGTTTCTATTTAACAAAGAGTCTCGATTGCATACTAAATCCAGAAAATTATTTTACCTCCTTAGAAAAAAAAAATAGGTTTAGCCAACACGTCACTGAAAAGCAGACGTAGTTTCTCTAAGTTTTAAGCAGAACTAGGATATAAGATCAAAGATAATATCAAAAGTGTCAGTACGTTTAGACGTTTGGTCACAAAATGCATGAAAGAATCCTCTGACTAAAACTTTAGAAATTTATAATACCACATGAAATTTGTCTTCCAATAACTGCGCCATCAAACTAAGACAGGAAATCTTGTACTGAGTGACGATGTAAAACCGTGATGAAAATTAAAGACGAGTATTGAAGACGACGAAACGTTATGAATTCTAATTATTCAATAAGATTGTAGTATGGCATACTTATAACTAGAAAATTGATTTATATCAAAAATATTTTTAATCATAGTTTGTGTTACTATGAGAAGATGTTTGAATGGTATTCAGATCCACGAACTCACTGATTCTAGAGACGTCGTTGAATTTACGGAGAGAGAGAGAAGAGTCAATTTGTTTTCCCATCTCTGAAGAAATATCTTTTTTCTTGTGTAAAGTATAAAATTAAACAGATTCATGACTCTTTTGAGCACGTTCAACTTTTTAACTAAAAACTCCTAACAACTCTTACATAAACATATGTTGTTTATCTAAACTAACTTTATTATGGTATTCAAAAAAATAGGTGTTGTTGTATTTCAAGTTCAGTGAGTTCCCTATCGGTGCTCTCTAGTGGCACAGCGGTATGTCTCCGGACTTACGACGCTAGAAACCGGGTTTCGATACCCGTAGTGGGCAGAGCACAGATAGCCCATTGTGTAGCTTTGTGCTTAACTACAACCAACCAACGAACCCTATCTGTATAGCGTATGTAGAAAACCTGGTTTTTCTAGAAGACGACACTTATAAAACAAAACTTCAACACTCCTTCAAAACATGATCAGTTTGTTGTTTGTGCATCGTATTACTTCTGTGTATTTTCTTTAAATTGATCTTACCACGCGACAAATTAGCTAATCTATTACAGTATATTTCGTAGATATGTTGTAGCAAGCACGTTATGAAACTATAATTTTTAAGATTTGTTTGAAATATATAAAGTTAAGTTTAAAAAAATATTAACTGAACATTAACGAATGTAGTAATTTGTGAAAGTGGGATATTATAAAGTTCAAGATGAAAATATGTTTCTAGTGAGATAACTAGTCGTTTCTTGGTGTTTTCTGAGCAGTAGTGTCGTATAGAACATTAGTCAGATAATATTATTACAGCAAAAGTCAGTTATTTGTTCCCTCAGAAACTAACAAAAGTCAGTTATTTGTTCTCTCAGAAACTAACAAAAGTCAGTTATTTGTTCCCTCAGAAACTAACAAAAGTCAGTTATTTGTTCCCTCAGAAACTAACTATGCCCAAAACTGATTTTGATTATTATAGTACGAAGGGGTAGAGGCCAAGAATTTTCGGGCATGATTTCGCTGAGAAGCATCCATCACGGAAAACATTCTGAATAAAATATATTTTTCAGTAGCATCATGAAAGTAAAATGCAAATAGCAATGATAATGGTCTGGAAATTAAGATAACCTGTAATTAATTTTGAGGTATCTCATTTCATATATAACGCATAGCAAATCGTTTGTATTTAACTCGAAGTTTTACACAAGTTAACAAATTTATCAGAGCAATTAAAGGTTAATAAAGTCCAAATCCACATCATCTATTCGCGACCCATTCTGTTTGAAGTCAGTAACATCAGTCATACGATACGCTCTAAAAAAAGCCTTCTTAGTTACATCAAGGTCGCTCTGTTATGGATATTAAAACGTGGGACTTTGATAGCTTATTCACAGTAGCTTGACTGTCGCAGCTTGTCAGGCAACACGCTATAAACTCGGCAGCCAAAAGAAACGTCCTTTACTAGAACAGTTTTATAAGAAAAGTTGGCGAAGCAATTGGTGTTGACGTTTACTTCTCCCGCCTGAACTCTTGATGGGCAATTTGCTGTTTTTAATATGCCATTAAACACTTAATCTGTTTACAGGCCTGTTGAGCATTGATAAAAGTGTGGGATGAACACATGTCTATCAGAATCTGTTAGATGTATTTACATTCACAACGATAAAGATTACTCATAATGCCTGCATGTCTTTCATATAAAGTTTTATCTTGATAACCTTAGTAGTGAACACGAACACGTGTATCGTTGTATATGTGTCAGTGCGTGCTCATAGATGGCAAATATAAGATAATTCTTGCTTGAACAGGTTCCAACTTTTCGTGGCATGTTTAGCAGCTGCGAAAATAGATCAGTGCCTGACTTGAGTAAATTTAAGGAATGTTAGACTTCTTTGAATATTAATGATGTGAATGGTTCTTTTTTTTAAAAAAAAAAAATATTTCTGATTGGAACCGGAAATGTTTTACGAATTCAATTCAAACATACACCACTGTAACTGTAATATTCATTGTTCATTTTATCAGATAGGTATTTTTTTTTTCTTTTTCACTTAGGTCCAAACGGATGTCCACGTCGTAGAGGCCGTCAGACCTATACCCGATTTCAGACTTTAGAACTTGAAAAGGAGTTCCACTTCAACCACTACCTGACTAGACGACGAAGAATAGAGATTGCACACGCTCTTTGTCTTACGGAACGGCAAATCAAGATCTGGTTCCAGAACCGGAGGATGAAGCTGAAGAAGGAGATCCGGGCTGTCAAGGAAATTAACGAGCAGGCGAGGTTGGAGGGAAAATTAAAACAGCGAGACGATTCCCAGAAATCTGAAGACGAGCAGCCACAGAAGAAGAATGAAGACACGGAGAAGAAGGAAGCTAACAAAGCCGATGCACTGCTGTCAACCCAGCAGAGCACTACCAGACAGAAGCCGGGTACAAATGCCACAAGCTCTTCCCTCGTAAATGGAGATTCGGACTCAGAATTCTCGAGTCCATAATGTTGTACATTCTACCCATACACCAGATTAGGGAAGCGGAAATTTTAAATTCTTTAGATATTCTTGTAAATGCCATATGTTCAATTGTATATTTTTGTTATTAGAAACGCCACAATGATCCTGTGCAAACGTCTTTCTTACAATTGTACAACTCAGTGTTCTATATTGATTTTGTTATTCCCGTATAAGGGGGTTTTTTTTGTTTGTTTTGTTTCGGTGCAAGCTTTCATATTGTTATCGCAATATTTATCATTAGATTATAGGGAAAAAGGAAAGCAACTTGAATATAGACATCTTAAATGGGATATATGTGCGTGTGTGCGCGCGCGCGCGCACGAGAGAGAGAGAGATTTTGGTTGCAAATGTAAGGTGGTGCTTGAACAACAAAATACGTAATTTAGGGTAAAACTTATTATTTCATCTTGAAATTATTTCAACTAGCACTGAAGAATTTTGTTTGCAAATACCTGATCATCGGGTGCGCAACACATTAATGATGTTCTCACAGTAACCTTTTTATCATAACTGTGTTTTTTGTTGTTGTTGTTGTTGTTGTTTTTTAAAGAATCCTGTCTACGTTTAATCAACTGAGATTGGCGCGTTCAAATTAATGGTAGATTACCTGAATGTTTAAAAGTTGTGTTTTAAATGACTGGAACACGAGAAAAAAAAGGAGAGTAAAGTTGATTAATTTTGATCGAAGTTCCATTTTGAAACGTTGCTGATCAGTATAGCTTCACTTAAAGATACTTTTTGGAAGTAAGGAAGTGGCAATAACGTTTCCTAAATTTGAGCAGTTTCCTGTTGCTCCAACAAGAAATCGTATCCATGGATGTATGTTCTTGAGATGTCTGTTTATTGTGTTGTGGCAATCCCTTCGTATAACCTACAGTATCGTAGATTAGAGGAATAATGTCGTGATCAGATTATCTGATTATCGTACTTTGGAGTTGAATCGTCTGGGATCTCGTATTTCTTAATCTCTTTGTGTTTGTAGAATTAGACGCAGAAATAATCATTCTGTGAAGTAAACCAGGTCAGTGTGTAAGTTAAGTAACAACCGATGGGACAAGATACAACTGCTTTATCCACTGAAATTGCGCATGAAATATTATGTGACCCATTATTTTATACAAGCCAGTTGTTAATTGTTAGTAGCAGATTTAATATGTTTGCTCAGACATAGGATACGAAGTTTTATTCTTTTTTTTTTTAACAGAAACACAAGTGCAAAAACTCAAAATTGTATTTAATATTTAGGGTTAAATATTTCATTTAATATTGTACATAGAAAGCATTATTAACGATTCTATACGATTAACAAAAAAATAATACATAACAATAAATTATAGTTTTGTTCACCATTAGTTAGTAATTATTTCTTTCAGTCTTCGTTATTCTAGACTATAGATATATTTACAGAATTATCTGACTTGTTGTGTTTACTGGGTCTGGAAGCGTCTGTGGTGGTAATTCTGATGTTATTATTAAGAAGTATTAAACAGAAACTGTTGACCGTTTCTTAACTTCTTTCTTTTTCATTACCTCTTTACTTTTTACTTTTTTTTTTTTGGAGTTCAGAGTTTTACCGGGTCAATTAATTTGACTAATGATTTGGTTGACAAAATACTGCCTGATTATCAGTATTCCAACGTTTCTGCAGAAATGAATGCGTTTCAAAATAATTCTCTGATGCCCTTTCTAATAGAACTGCCGCTTTAGAAAATTCTAGCAAAATACACTTCTTCTGAAATGTTGAGAAAGTAATATTTTTTAAATAGGTCTCAATTTAATTATCAGTAAGTACAGAGGCAGCTAAAATTTGTGACTTTGCTTTTTGTGAACTGTTTACTGTGTTAGAACTCCTGGAAATCAAAGTCCAGTCAATAGGTTCATGAAATTGGAGGTATTTGGTGTTAATAAAATCCTTGGAGGTACGAGGTGTCTGTTTTGTCATTTCTTTCACATCCTTAACAGTATACTATTATTTCACATCCTTAATAGTATACTATTATTTCACATCCTTAACAGTATACTATTATTTCACATCCTTAACAGTATACCATTTTCACATCCTTAACAGTATACTATTTTTCACATCCTTAACAGTATACCATTTTCACATCCTTAACAGTATACTATTATTTCACATCCTTAACAGTATACTATTATTTCACATCCTTAACAGTATACTAATCAGTGGTTTCAGTATTAATTTTTCTAATATGTTTAATTTTACATTTTTGTTTTCAAACGCTTATAGTAATACGCCTATAAACAGTTCTAAATTTAATTGAAAGTATAGCGTTCCCTGAACAAGTCGATGAGTTAGTTTTTAACAGTTGCATAACAAGAAACCAGAAATGTAGGTAAATGTCCGAAGAAAAGAATACTCGAAAAAACTTGTTGTCAAAACGAAAAACTTCCACAATTTATTTTATAAATAAATTACCAATATTAAAAAAGGTTACAAATCAGTTGTTGAGATCTACTATATCTAAACTCGACCAAATATAAAATAAATATATGTTTGTTTGTTGACTTCTGGGAAACATGAAAATAAAAGAACCAATCTCTCATTATTTGTTTAAAAAAGTCATATTTCAGGTAATTATTGTACCGGAATTTAAAAACATTTTGTTAAAAATAATGACACGTACTTAACAGACACGTTCAAAAATCAATAGGGCATCTTGCAGTATGTTTTGCACGTAATAATTTGTCACATACATCTAGGCTGTACTAATAAACGTCTCACTTGTTCAGTTTATCAACCGGATCAGCTCATCCACTCTTGACGTCGGAACGTTATAAGGCTGTTAAAAATAAAGCAAGCCTGAATTAGTATTTTTCTCTCTTAATATCTATAATGAAACATACATGATAATGTTATACCTATACGTGAATACTACAAAACTAGAAAATTTTATTTTAATTACTGCATGTATATATATTTTTCGTTGTTAAACACAAAGCTACACATTGAGCTACCTCTGCTCTGTCCAGTGAGGGTATCGAAACCTAATTTTTAGCGTTATAAGCCTGAGACTTGGCGCTGAGTTACCGGGGTAGGGGAATATGCACGTGAAAATTATAAATAATATAAAGTTATAAGCATGAAAAATATCTCAAAATAAATTATAGCTTTACAATTGGCTACCTGCGCTCTATACTCCACAAGGACTCGAATCCCAGATTTTTTTAACATTTTACGTCAAGAAACTTTCCACTGATCTACTGGGGGGGGGGGCAATTAATTTTAAACGCAACATTTCATAAGTTGGAAATATTAAACGTTTTATGAAATGAATGCTTTTAAATTCCAAACTTACACACAAACAATAAATATTAGACCAATATAACGTATGCATAAGAAAAGGTTTAAGGAAATGAGACAGGCACATTGTACGATATTGACAGTAAAAAAACACAAAGATCTTTTTTTAGGCACAATAAAAGATAGAATCTTTATCATTACTTACAACCAACTAGTTTTGATAAAACATTTACCATCATCACATAGATGCTAGTCGTTTTTTTTGGTGTTTTTTTTAAGTCTTAATGTAGTTTATTTGTAAACATCTCCATAACTACAAAATATTAGCAAATATGCCAGAAAAAAAAATCAGAAGTGTTAATATGTTTCAATGAAAATTTTAAGAATCATTGTAATTAAAAGGAGTGGATTATGCTGGTTGTATCAGACGCTCGTTCTCATAAACTCCCGCGTTTTCTACGAATCAAAGAAAGACAAAAAGAAATTTTCTATTTTGTTCCTGAGACAATGTATATAATATACTGTCATTAATACTAGCTGTTGTGTTCCTGAGACAATGTGTATCATTTACTGTCATTAATACTAGCTGTTGTGTTCCTGAGACAATGTGTATCATTTACTGTCATTAGTACGAGCTGTTCTGTTCCTGAGACAATGTATATCATTTACTGTCATTAATACGAGCTGTTCTGTTCCTGAGACAACGTGTG